CTAGGCCAAGTTATGATAAACACCCATTTTAAGATTATCCATTGGTTGCAGAGGACATCCCCCCAAAATCAACATAATTTATAAATGAATATTTGGTTGTTAGAAATGCACACTGTCAGATTGTATATTTATTTTATGAGTTGCCTTGAAGTTCATATTTACTGGCTTCAAGTCCTACAAATAGTTATACAAATAACAAAGAATGGTGTGAGATTTGATGCATTAAGAATGCTGCAAAATAATATAATGAAGGTGCCTTTAAAAATTTGTATGTTTGATAGTTCATTTTTTGTTAGTTGTGAGGACAATACTCAGTATTGTTGGATAGCCACTATTTCTAACATTAGTTATTTAAGGTGTTGGAAATAGCATGAATAGACAAACTAACAGATATGGTTTGTAGGGGGAAATTATGTGTATTAATTCTTTTTTCTAAATGACATCCTTTTATGTATTGGGATTATTATTTTGAACAGTAAATATGTGTGTATTTTAACAATAAAAATGGAAAAATGTTTCTGTGATGCCACTGGTGTACTCCTATATCCCACAGGAGAGGCAGTCGTTTGGCCTTTCATAGTAGCAAAGTTTTAAAAACAATAAAATTCAAACAACAAATTCATAAAATAGTGTTAAAATGAATAATCATTTGAATTATTCTAATATCTGTTGCAGGTATTGCCTGTTGAGAACGCTCAAGCAGTGTCAAACTTTGAGGGAAGCTCTAATTGCTGCAGGAAAGGAGATTGTTTGGCATGAGAGAACAAAGGAAGAACCAGCTCATTACTGTAGCATATGTGAGGTTAGTAAATATGTATGTGCTGTGGGTTAATATTTGCTTACAGTTTTAAAATCTGATTTCTGTCTTAATCTCTTAGACCTTTCCCAATTGTTTGCACTTCAGTGGTAAAGTATCCCACTCCTCTTCTTCTGTGAATGGCATCTTTAGCTCATTTGAATCAGTCAAAACCATTCCGCAGAGTAGTCATGCAGCTGATACTGGGAAACACTAAAAATCTTTCTCCTTTAGAGATGCAATCCCAGAACTGCAAGTGCGCTGTGGATCACTTGCACAGCAAGAGAAGCTAAGGGATGGATAGTGGCTAACAGAAAGTTTTAGACTGTGCAAGTTCTTGGTTTGAAGGAGGAGAATGCCAGATTAGAACATGTCTCTAGTTTCCCTCATCACAGAGATAGTAAGAAAGGTGTATACTTGCAGTGGACGAAATCATCACACTCTGAATTTCTGGGCAATTGACACTTCTTCTGGCTCCAGAAGCAAAGGTGTGGCTGCATGTGTATATAACTGGGTTTTATTCAGACTAAGTTAGTTGAACTTTGATTTTGGTGGAACACAAGTCAAGTCATGACTAACTTGCCTCACTGATTTCAGAAGGAATTGAGGCAACTGACAGGTCTAGTTTGATATAATGCTAAATCCTAATTTGCTTAACAAACTGGCCTGGTTCACCCAACTCTGACAAACATGCAGGATCCTGTCATTCCTCCCTGGTTCTTTTTGCTCCTACACTGAGCTTAGCTTGTCTTTCAAACTTGTAGCCATGGCTTAAACATGAGCCCAACTTGTGGTTAATGAATAGAAAGCTTAACCATGAGCCTAGGTTCAGGCTACATGTTAAGCCAACACTTGGTTTAGCTCATTGTGGTGCAGGAGCAAAAATGACCAAGGAGGAGCTAAGCAGCTGTGACCCCACACATTTGCACAGTCCCAGTAGGCCATAGTTCACCTTACACTGCCTTGTGAACCAGGCCAATGATTTAACCACAAGTTTTCCAACAGATGATCAAACAAACCATGGGTTATTTCTCCAGAATTTGACTTTCCTTCCAGCTAATCCCATATTGCATATTGCTTAGTGAGCACATGAGGTGAAGTAATCAAACAAACCATAGTTAAGGAAAGGTGCTAGGTTTACACGTAATGCCTAGACATAGTTAAAGGAAAGGCTTTCAAAGCATGGCTTCAGGTTGCGGTTTGTTGGCAGTAGGCAAACCAGAGGTGGGTAAGCTGCTGGGCAAGGTTCAAATGATTTTTTTTAAACCCACTGTTTAATAAAACATAGTTTAAGAAACCAAGGCTCATTATGTGCAAACCAAGTCCCTGTCTTGATCTACTCTATTGATTTATTTGGTCTGGCTTTACTTTATCCATAGTAGTACTAGTGTTGTTTGTTTGTTTACATAGGTCTGTTTCAAGTTACCAGACTATTGGCATCTCCCTTTAAGAGGAGAGGCAGTCTTTTAATTTCCTGACCTGCCTTATACTCTACTATTGCTCTTTGTGCCTTCAGTATCAAAGAAAGATCTTTAGACTGACCTGTGAGGGTTTCTTCACCTCCAATACAAAGTGTAATATGGGTTTTATTATGTGAAGGCTATCAGTAGAATTTATTCTTCTGAAATATGCTGGGTCCTGATAGCAAGATGTTCTTACTTCCCATTGTACAATATATTATCAAAGGCCAAATATTTATATAGCGTTTGAAAACTTAGAACTTGCTCCACACATAAAATAGCATGTCATTTCATTGCTGGGAGCAGCCCATAAGCTCGACTTTGGATGGACTCTGGCTACTAGATTTCAAAAGAGCTATGCTGTTTCATTCAGAATTTCCTGCTGCCACTACCCAGCCAAGTCTCAACACTGTTTTTGCCATTCTAGCTCAGTTGCCTATATAATATATGCGATGCCAAATTAAGTCCAGGTCTAGCTCTGCTGTCACGTTCATATTCTGCTACAGCTTAGTTTTGCTTCCTTTTTGTATCCACAGGTGGAAGTCTTCAATTTGCTTTTTGTCACAAATGAGAGTAATTGTCGAAAAACCTATGTCGTACATTGCCTAGACTGTGCACGAAAGATATGTGGGAATCTGGAAAACTTTGTGGTGCTAGAACAGTACAAAATGGAGGATCTGATGCAAATCTATGACCAATTTACATTAGTAAGTAAAACTGTATTTGTGAGGCAGTACTTTATTAATATATGCCAACAGTTTGAACATACTGGTTGTGCTATTCTTGTGTAACTATATGTTCTACTTGTTACAAGAAAAAAACTTGTGCCGTTTAGGCAATCACTTATTGTATATAATATAATTAGAACTTCATGAGAATCCTGGGTTATGTTAATTTATTTCAGTGATTTACTACTAAGCAAAATCTTGGGAGCAACTATATTGCATTAATTTTGCTAGAATATCAGATGTAAAGCATGTGGAATCCTTCATTTGCAACTGATGAGGTATCAGAATAAGCAAATATGTATTATTTATTTATTAATAAAAATATGTATGTACTGCTATATCACAAAAAATATCAAAGCAGTTTACAACATTAAAAAGATAAAAACCATACAATAAAAGCACAAACAAAATAGAAACAATTTAAAAGCAAAACACTTAAAAACAAGTGTCAATAAACCATTGTGGGAGATGTACTCTTAATTGCTTCCATAGGCCTGGTGGAATAAATAAGATTTCAAGTTGGCACAAAAGGTGCCCGCTGGATCTCTATTGGCTGAGGATGCCACAGGACTGGGCCAGTGACACTAAAGTCTCTGTTTCTCTTTGTTGTCAAATGAGCCTCACCAACTCAGGGGATAACCAACAATGCTCCAGCAGATGATCTTGGTTGACTGAGCTGGGATTCAAAGGTTCATGTTATCCCTGAGCTACCCTGGCCCTAAGTTGTTCAGGGCTTTGTAAATTAATACAAGAACCTTGAACTGAAAAAGGCCTCCGCACTCGCCCTGACAACACTGGTTCAGTGACATGGATTGAAGAAGTGTATTTGTTATTGGGAAGGGATAATTTTTAACCTGCTCACTTAGAGTTCCTAAGTTGAAATGTGTCGTGTTGGGAAGGGAAAGCATATGAGCAGGTTGGAAGTTGCTTACTGACCTTACTTTGGCATGGATTGGGTTGGAAGAGAACACTAAAATGAAAAACAAGGACTCCAGTGCTACTTCTAGTTGGATGGGCTTGGATCATATATCATTCCTCTGTTCATGTCAGGGTAGGGGCCACTGTAGCCCAATGTACCTTATTCCAACCTATCCAAAAAGTTAGCCAACCCCAAGAGCATATATTCATGGACTGTAGAGGGAAGGAGAGATAGGAAAGGCATGTTCTACAAATGCTCTTCTCATTCACTGAAAGTTTGGGTCCATACCATTGTGTGATGGTGATAATTTGCAGAATGCGTGCCTTCGAGGGAGCTAAAGAATAAGGGTAAACTGAAGCTTGTCAATAAAACTTGGAAACCCTTTGAATAAGGGGGGTCTTAAGCAATGTTCTGTGTGAAATGTTCAGAAAATAGTATTGCAGCATCCAGATACATAAAGAAGCAAACAATGAACCTGTTCACTTCCGCTCTGAACTGAACAGTAACGCTTTCTAAAGACACGTTCAGTAAATACAACTTTTTAAAAGGTTATGTATTGTGTTATCTCTTTTCAGGCACCTCCATTGCCATCATCTTCATCTTGACATTTTTCCAAGGACATTTACATAAAAACTTTTCTGATATTCAGGAAGTGACCCAGTTCTGCACCACTGATTTTTGTAGCGATCCCATAAGGCTGCTGGCTGAAAGCTGTGTCTATGCAACCTTCCAAGTGCGGAGTGTCAACCAACTGGACAGGAGAGAGCACAGCTCCTATTCCAGAATTTGAAATATAGAAAGCTCATTCAGCTGATTTTTTAAAAAAGAAAATTCCACGTTTTGTATATATCTGACAAAACTGGCAACATTATACAGACTACTGACTTGAAGACCACCTCTTTTGTATTTCTCTGTTTCTGGGCTGATGAATTGGTTTCATCTATTTTTCCTCCCTTCAGAGTTTTCTCTTGGAAAGTACTAGCATAGCTGGTCATTTCTTTGTAAGGTAGTTAGAATTTTAAGTCTTTCTTTGGGCTACACTTTTTTTTTTTTAATGTGAAAGGTTAGGTGATACTCTTTTTTTTTTTACTGCTTTTATGTTATTCTGTCTTGTTTTGAAACCATGATGGTTACTTTTTGTTTCCTAAATGAAATTTTAAAAAATTAACAGCCAAGTCACAAAGATAAATGGGTTGCACATAGACTAAAGAATAAACTTCAGATTTGTGATTTTGTTTCTAATCTTGATGTAAATTTACACTATTTATAAATACATATTTATTGCTTGAAAATATTTGTGAATGGAATGCTGTTATTTTTTCCAGATTACCTGCCATTGAAATTTTAAGGAGTTCTGTAATTTCAAACACTACTCCTATTACATTTTCTATATGTACATAAAACTGCTTAGCATTGTACAGAAACTTTTATTAAAATTGTTTAATGTTTAAAGTTTTTGTATTGTTTGAGTTTTAAAAAAAATTTATGTACATTGCCCCGTTTTTGTTGATTTTTTTGAATCTGGTTATATATATTTTATATATACTCTTGTGCGTGTGTGTATATATATAATATATATAGAAAACTGAATATAAATATATGTATAAAAATTAGAGCCTAAATTTTTCTCGTTTTAAGTTTTACATCTATGGTAGATTTGAGGTGTCTACTGTAAAGTATTGCTTACAAAAGTATGAATATTTTTAAAAAATATATATGGTATGTATCCTCAAGATATGATATGTCCTTCAGACTGGTTTATTGTTAAATTGCACTTCTTGCAATTACAGACAAATATAGCTGATGCCAAATCGTAGTAGTAAGAAATGAGAAATAGCCTACCTAGCTAACAGCTCAAAAATAGTAGCATTTTGAAGATTAACTCTAGACACCTTGAAATTTAACAAGGTATGATCAAGTAAAATAGAATTTTGATGAGACTGATATCTGAGAAGATGACCAAAAAAAGATTTGTACATTCCAGTTGCTTTTTTGAGCAAGTGTAAGGCTATATTGTCTTAAGTACAAATCATGTTCTATTACTGCTTATTTTGTAATTCAAATTCAATTGTAAATTTTAAAGACATTATAATCCTTTAGGGCATCTTATCTGTTTACAGTTTAAAGTTAATAATAGCATTTTATTTTATTAATTTGCTTCCATACTTTCTTAACTGTTACATGGAAACACATTAAATCTAAATCCAAGATCTTTATTCATCCCAGTGGATTAGTTTACTGATTCATAAAGTTCTGCATCAAGTGCACTGATAATTGCAGCTTCATAACTGTGGTATTTGATGTTGCTGAAACAAAGCACCCCCTCCTTTTGACATTAGCAGTTTTTAAATGCTTCTCTTTAGTTAAAAGAATGAGCAGCATTTCCCCAAACCAGAATATTGTTGAAAGCCAGAGTTTACATACGTTGATGTATCAGATACAGTTACTTTAATATGAACACCAACTTGGAACACAGAAAACATTTCGGGGAATAGAACAGAAATAAATGGATACCAGCCTAGCTAATCCAATCCAATCTCCTCTCAAGTATTAGAATGTAGGTTGGCTCTATTCACTGACCAGACTGATTGTTCACAGAAAGTCTAATTTTACTTTGTGCTGGAGGAAGCAGAGCAACTTACTTCAATAAGCCTGCTTTACCTGTACCTACTCTAGTACTTTCTATAGGTTGCATTTGATGAGATGATGGAATCCTTGTTTTACAGCCCATGAAGAAATGAACTAAAGCCCCAGTAGTTTATCTGCTTATCACAACTCTCAGGATAGTGTACCTCCGTATAGTAGCCCCCACAGGTGAGGTACCCTTCAGAGTGAAAAGAACCCTTTGGCCATATAGTGCCAAATGATTCAGTCTTCTTGCCATTTGACCCAAACTAACAAAATGAATTTAAATAGGGACAAATGTCTGGTTCTACACTTGGGCAGGAAAAGCCAGCTGCACAAATATAAGATGGGAGATGCCTGACTTGCCAGTAGTACACAAGAAAGGATTTAGGGGTCTTAGTAAACCACAAGCTTAAGGTGCGTCAACAGGGAAATGCAGCACCAAAAACGCTAATGCTATTCTAATCTGCATCAACAGAAGTCATAGTACCACTTTGAACAGACCACACCTTGAATACGGTGTCCAGTTCTAGGCACCAGAATTTAAGAAGGCTATTGACAAGCTGGAATGTGTGTGGAGGAGGGTGGCCGGTGGCCAAGATGATCAAGGGTCTGGAAACAAGCCTTATGAGGAGCAGTTGAGGGAGTTGGGCATGTTTGTCCTGGAGAAGAGGAGACTGAGAGGGGATATGATAGTCATCTTCAAATATCTCAAGGGCTGTCACATGGAAGATGGAGCAAGCTTGTTTTTTCCTGCCCTGGAGGGAAGGATCCGAACCAATGGATTCAAGTTACAAGAAATGAGATTCTGACACAACCTCAGGAAGATCTTTCTGACGGTAAGAGCTGTTTGACAGATGAACAGACTCCCTCAGGGAGGTTATGGACTTTCCTTCCTTGAAGGTTTTTAAACAGAGATTGGATGGCCATCTGCCATGGATGCTTTCATTGGAGAGAGTTAGACTAGCATACATAAAGACAAGGACCAAATTTTGTTGAGCAGTGCCCAAATTGTAAAAGCCTGGAAAAGAACCTGGCACTCACTCTGTTTGCTTTGGACACAAACTGGTTGAGCATTGCTTGACAACACAGGGAAGATCCTTTGTTCAGGGGCCCACTTCACTTTCCACCAGGATAGTTCCACAAAGCATTGGATCAGCCCGTCTGTTTCTTGGTTTTGCCTTCATTGAGTTTCTTCATTTTAGTAGGTTGGCATTTTCACTCACATGTTATCTATAGCTCTTAAACATCACCTTATGTGAAGTAGACCTTTGAGAGCCATTGTTCATGCCTGAGAGTTTCAGCATCATGTAGCTATGATCTGGAAGTTGCGTAAAAGTCAGTATCATTGCAGCTCTGGTCTAGAATTTAGCCCACAGACTCAGTACTTCATTCATGCAGGAGATGCCAAGAATTTTATCCTATCTTCTGAACAGGAGGAAGAGCTATTCCCAAGGATAGAGACTGGCTTCTAGGCACACGGTATGGTTACTTACAGTAAGAAACATTTGCACATCAAGTTGGATTAATGGGTTCAGCCATAACTTTTCAAATGCAAGAGAAGTGGTTGGTTGGTTGGTTGGTTGGTTGGGTGACTCTTAGAAGCAAAGGCTCAAAAACAAGAATAGTTGTTTCAGTGCCTTATCCTATGGCACCCTAGGTATCTCTCTTTGATAGACACAGAGTTCTTATATTTGCTTGTGATAAACTCAAAATGGCAGCTTGTGGTAAACTCACTACAATGGAGCCTCGGGTTCCGGACGTAATCCTTGATGGAGGCACGTCCGCAACCTACAGCGTTTGCATCCTGAAGCGCTGCGTCTGCACGATTTGGTGCTTCTGCGCATGCACAAGCGACGAAACCCAGAAGTAACCTGCTCTGGTACTTCCGAGTTTCCCGCGGTGTGCAACCCGAAAACACGTAGCCTGAAGCATCCGTAACATGAGGTATGACTGTACAGCTGCAGGCTAGATTGGATTTTTAACCCCAGCCCTCAAAAACTTTATTCTTGGCACCACCCCAGTTTAGTTTTCCTTTCAGAATAAGGTGGAAGCAAACTCAGTAAATATTTAAAAGCACAAATATGTGGTTAGTAATAATTCTATCTCAAGACAGAATCCTTTGAAAGGCTTAAGATAATTGCAATTCATAAATGAACTTTCCAGTGGCTTGGAGATTATTTTTTAAAACGTGTTGGGTTTTTTTTAAAAAAATTCAGTAGTGGCAAAGGTTTCATTGTCTGATGTTGCTGATTGGGTTTTTTGTTCAGGGCAAAAACAGCAGGAGTAAACATGCATGCTACTTTTAGAGCCAAAATTGAGTTTGAGTTTAAGACTATGATTATTCTCAAAAGTCATAAACCCATTCATTGGTTGATGAAGGAATTACAGGCATTCAGTTTTCTCAAGCCAAAGGAACCTGCTTGTGATTTTGCTGTGCTTTATTCCAAGGACGGGGAATCTGATCTTCCAGATGTTGTTGGACTATGACTCCCATTTCCCTAACTATTGGCCATGCTCACTAGGGCTGATGGAGCCTCATTTGTTTATTTTTAACATAATTTCCCAAGAACATACAAGTCAGGCTATCAAATCAATAACGAATACTATAAAACAGGCAGCAAACCCCAAATTAAGCTTAATTCTATAATCAAAATATTAACATTAAAAACAAACAACAATTCTAAAGGAACCATCAAATGGTACAAAACTGCCCCAGCAAATAAATTAATGAGCCAGCTGAAGACCTTTAAAAGAGCCACATCTTCACTAACAGTCTAAAGCAGGTTTTAGACTGCCAACTGTTTTGGGACTACAACTCCCATCATCCCTAGCTAACAGGACCAGTGGTTAGGGATGATGGGAATTGTAGTCCCAAAACAGCTGGAGGGCCAAGTTGGGCCATGCCTGGTCTAAAGCAACATAATGGTAGTGTCCAATGCACCTTGCTTGACAAGGCATTCTATAAAGTGGGTGCTACAACACAGAAAATCCTAACTTTGTTACATACTAGTGTCACCTCATAAGGTCAAGGGAACTGGAACAGAAATTTGGATGATGATTGGCTCAGGTGGGGGAAAACATGAAAGAAGGCAGTCCTTAAGGTACCCAGGTTCCTTAAACTGAATTGGCAACCAGTGCAGTTTGCATAAATCCGGTTGTAATAGAACCAAATTTACTGGCACCCCTCAGCATTCTGACTACAATATTCGGCACTAGTTGAATTTTCAAAATATCTTTCAAGGCAAACCCCAACAATTTCCAGAGGATCACAGGTTCCCCATCCCTGATGTCAGACTTGCTTTCAGCAGTTGGCCAGATCAGGTGCTGGCTGAGGGACCCAGGGGCTTGGAAAGGGCCCTCAGTGGCCTGTCCTCACCATGCCACAGTCCACCCCTTCCCGCCAGATGCTTTTCAGCATCAGACAGTGATGACCCTTTTAAACGGGGGTAGCAAGCTCAGCTCCCAGCCCATATTATAAAAGGACAGATAATGCATTTGTTTTCCAACTCCCTTTATTTCTTCCTCATACCCTATAACTTCTTCTGTATTGCTCCATATACTTGGACCACTCCTTCATACATCAAACCATCATCTTGAATAATGCCCTTATGCATTCACCATCTTCCATTGCCAAGTGACTCTCTCTTATTTTTCAAGCCCATCACCCTATCTCCATCTTCTCCATCTGGGCAAGTACCTCTTGTTATGATCCCATCTCACATTAAATCAATAGTAATCCATTACAGCGGTTGTGATCTTCATCTATCTTTCTAGAGGAGCTGGGGTGTCAGCAAAAATTCCTTCCCACTCCTGCTGTGAGTGGGCAACCCCTTCAGTTAATGTTCTGTGTTTCTCCACAGAATCCTGGCTCATTTGTCATAGGAACAAAAAAAAATGGCTCTGGGTATGAAGACAGAATAAAGAAAGGGAAGATTTCAAGCACATATGATGGAATAAGGTAAAGCACAGGCAGTTTGCTAGTGGGGCCATGTGTGCCTCTGGCAACTTATACTTTCCCTGCCTTCCCTGACTCAGCCCAGAAGGAAAGGGAACAAGGAGCAGAAAGCTTGCAGTTGGAAAGATGGAGCTACCCATGTGTGTTTCACATTTCCAACAGAAGTGGAGGAGAGGGAAGAGTGATCTGCAACAGGGCAGGGATGTCTATGTTGTCCTGAAAGGGACAATTGATTCCATAACCTACAAGTAGTCAGCAAAGCCATAGAGAGCAGTTTCCTAGAAAGAAAGTAGTCACCATTGTAACAATGGCTCAGTTCATCTTTAGCATCCTCTTAAACAACAAGCTTGTGAGATTTGCATTGATCTTGCTGAAGGCATTTGTAAAAGCAAGGTAAATGTGAGAAGTTGGAATGTGGTGGCCAGTAACAAGGAGCTAATAGAGGTGCTGTGAACCTTTGAAGAGCAACCCCAACAGGACCACTGAGTTTCATCATGGAATGTTTGCAAAGTGGAGGTCTAATGGTGGTAAAATCAGTGTTTGCCTCCCACTGTGGGATTTCCTGGATGATTCTATTATTTTGACTTCAAAGGTAGAAGTAGTAGGTAGATGGCAGCAAGCTTTCCTTTTAGGGTTTATCTCTGTATTTGCAATCAGGATAGTGGTAGGCAAAACGAGGATCACAAGTCTGCAGAGGTTTCAAAATCTCTTCCAGCACTTGAGCTGCCCTGATGACTTCTTGGTCAGTTAGAAAGCTGTCTGCACACCTGCTCAGAGCTCTGTCAATCTTCTCCTGGACAGGAGGCAGAAACTTTTCCTTTAAGAGTTTAGGCAAAAGTTCCTCACAAACCATGATGAGGCTTTGTGTATCCTTGATGGAATTACAGGAGGGAAGCTCAGACTGGCAGTCTGTAACCAGGCAGCTGAATATGTCCTTATGTTCCTGTTGTCCGTCCATCAACTGCTTGCCTAACAGAAAGTAATGAGAAGCTTTGATTATAAACATATATGAACCAATTCCAGAAGGAGGACCATGTTAGTCTGCATTGCAGCAAAAACAACAAAAGAATGTCAGGGCATCTTAAAGACTAACATTTATTATGGCATAAGCCTCTGATGAAGTGGGCTGTACTTCATGAAGGTTTATGCAGTAATAATTTGTTAATCTTTCAGGTGCCACAATTTCATGAGAGCAAATATTATCTTTATACACCTCAGCAGTGTTTAAATTTAGATTAGATGGTCAATTGAATTACAAATGGATCAACTTGTCTTGACTGTTCCACAGGGAAAAGGTATGAGCTAGTAGAAGAACAGAAGTTTTATCCTGCCAGGTCTTTGGCAAGGTATGAGGCCTCCATCTCTTCCCATCTTCTAAGAACAGGCATAGGCAAACTTGGCCCTCCAGATGTTTTGGGACTACAACTCCCATCTTCCCTAGCTAACAGGACCAGTGGTCAGGGATGATGGGAGTTGTAGTCCCAAAACAGCTGGAGGGCCGAGTTTGCCTATGCCTGTCTAAGAACAAGGATCTTCCATGATGATAATTATGATGAATAATTAATTATTTATCCTGTCCATATTACATATTATGTTTGAGAGAATAGTTGTGTCCCAGCCCTCTCCCTGACATATCTTTCCATGTACAGGGACATATTGAGCATTCAGTCATGTGACTCTCCTTGAACTCTGAAATGAGACGGTCCTCTGAAGGACTGTACTGTACATAATGTTTCTCAATTTGGGCTTTGATCTTACATTTTGAAATTAGATCTAAACTTTGTAGGACTGGGTTTCAGGTAAAAGCTATAAAATGTACAGGAAATGCGAGCCTCATCAGTCAAATGGTCTACCTTTTGTGAAAGCTGCTCGAGGCTGCCTCAGCTGTTTCTAAGAACTTGTGGACGGGGGATCTGTCCTTAGGGAAACCTTCAAACTGCCCGGCAAACAACAGAGCAGGCATTAATCACGAACCTCTTTTTCTCTCCATATTTCTCCAGAGAAGTTGGGCATACTTTTAATAGATTAAAGCGAGTAGCTGGTCCCAGGATCACTTGATGGGTGGGGCAGGTTGCCCATTTTTAAAATGCTGGAACCTGGAGTATCTCTCCTTTAGTTTACATATTACCCTTGGTAAACTCATGTGCTTTGATTGCTTACTACCCATATTTATGCTGCTTGTTCTCTCTGATTACCTGTGTTTGTCAGGTGCCCAGGATTGGACCATGTAGAATGTTTTCCCCAGCTGCTTTGACTATAGGTTTTTTGTTTTACCATCCATCCTGGCACTTTCCTCAGTTTTTTTCTTCTAGCTGAAAGCTAGCTATTTCTCTTCCTTTTTCCCAAACTTATACGTCTAGTTGTCTTGCTTTGCTTTGGAGCTCTCTGGCTTTCCTTCAGGTGGGTACATTTAGGAGTGTGCATGTGGTCATTTTGGTAATCTGACAATTTTCTGCTATAATATGAATGTTCATGTATGTGTGTTGGAGTTATGCTGATTGTGCTAATTTCCAGTTGCACAGAATCTTATTGGTATACAGATTGTCACCTTTCGTTCCTTTTAATTAACTGATCTACCATCAAAAAGCTTGAAGCTAAAGATCTATTCCCCCCCTCCTGCCTCATCATATCCTCTTGTGACAGATGCTTATTCAAAGATGAAGCTGAGTACCTTCCTGCTTGTCAATGACTCCCAGTGTGCTGGCATCCCGGATAAACAGATGTCCATTGTTGAAAACGCCAAATGTGCCAGCATCGACATGGGTAAAGTAGAATAAATAGTTCAGGTCATTGTTCCTCATGGAATTGATGATAGCAAGGAGCTGAAGAGCTAGGTCTGCTGCCACATCAGAAGACGAGCCATAGAATTCCTTCAAAGGTCTGGTGCTGGTAGTGACTATCAGCCGGCCACAGGACCCCAAGTATTTTGGAAATGGCCACCCTTCTGCTCCAGGGAAAATCTGTCCAACAGAGAGGACACAAAATGTGTTAGTGCAAATGTGGGATTATTTATGCGATGATGTGAAGGTAAGACTACGCCCCACCTTTTAAAAAGCCCCTTCGATCTTAGCTTAACTTGTGCATTGTTTTGCCCTCCTCACCAGAAGTTCCACCACACCTTTTGAAGAAGTGAGCACTGAAGGATTGCAATGTTTTGTCGTATTTTGTTTACTCGAATTCATAACTTCCGAGCAGGTATATTATGAAGTGTCAAAGCAAACACACTGCAAGAGCATTCACAGCAATTAGGGCTGTCCACAAACAATCCACCCTGTGTCACTGCTCTGAGGCCCCCATATCAGGGCAATATGCTATCCTGGGGGCCACCCATCCCTGATTTGTCCCCAAAACTAAGTCTCCCCATCACCATTTTGTTTAACCCTTAAGTCCCTTTTAAACTGTTAGGGCCCCAGCACAGCATAAGATTGGATCAGGCAAACTCGGCCTTCCAGATGTTTTGGGACTACAACTCCCATCACCCCTGGTCTTGTTAGCTGGGGATGATGGGAGCTGTAGTCCCAAAACACATGGTAGGCCAAGTTTGCCTATGCCTGGATTGGGTAGTACAGTTTAACAGCTGTTAAGGAGGAGGATCCAGTCCTATGCAGGATCTATGCCTCAGCTCTACAGCTGTTGATCCTGTAAGTCATCACGGAGGAAGGAGAGCCACTGCTTGGGCCTACTTTCTTTTGGGAAGGTGCATCCACTGGCCTATTTCACATGCTGCCCAGCTCTCCTTTCTGCCTTATGCCCTCCCTCCTTACAGCCACCAGTCACTCTGGGCCAATCCAACCTGACCAATGGCTGTGTGTGCCCAACTCATCTGAGACCCTCCATATATGCCTGATTTGGCTGGGCCCTCAGCCAACCTAGTGCACAGCTCCAATAGCAGTATCCGTCCCACTGCAACAGCAGCATTCATGCAAAAACTGCCAGCCACTTCCAAAATGGTAAAATTTCTTCTCTTGAGGCAGCCAGAATAAAAACCTCCCCTTTCTAGGTGTCCTCTCTTTACTCAGAACAGGCAAACCAATGTCACGGTCTCCTCCCAGATATCAAAATGGCTAAGGCGATCAGCCATAAATCAGTGTTCACTGGTAATGGCCAGAAAAAGGAAGATTTTATAAGAAATAATAGTTGTTCCTATTACCCTGTTAAGTAACAATGAATGCTGATTGATCACCTCACCCTTTTTGATGGGCAGCCACTACCCACCGAAGACTGTGCAACAGGGTTGTCCCTTCTGATAACATTGTTATGTGTTGACAAAGGTATTCTCAGACGCCAACTTAGTGAAGGTAACAATGCAAAGTAAAACATAAAGATAAAACATGTATTGTTAAGTTTTCAATAATCATAAAGGAGAAAAGAAGAAGGAATTATGCTAACAGGACTTTCTTTTCCCATAAGAACTTGCTGACCCGCTGAAATAAAAAGTTAAGACCAATTTAAGCACACCTTCAACAATCTGGGCTGAAGTTAACGCAAGGGTCAGCTTTAAACTGTTTAACAGCTACTCCAAGGCTTTAGATATACACCCTAAGGAATCATATGAGTCAGTAATATGCCCCATTGTATTTAATGGAGTTTTATTATAGGTTAATGCTTGTTTCTACATTTGTAGACATTAAGGAAGAAAAATGTGAATAATCATGATGTGCTTCTTTTGTGAAAACAACAGAGATACACAGCTAGGTGGAAAAGAACCACCACCTCTAGAGTGGTTGCGGCTATGTGCTTTAGCTTGGCAGTAGTGTCCATCTTTTGCATGTGCAAGGCCCCCAGGTTCAGTCCTTGACATGACACCCCTACACAAGGAGACTCATATCTGCAAAAGTCTTCCACTTGGCATCCCAAAGACCTTCATATCATATCAGTCTGGGGTCCATAGTTTTGTGGGATATGAACCATTGGTTTCATTCACTAGAAGTTGGTCAAATATGCCCATGATTTCCAAAAGTAAAGATTTAATAAAATGGAACATGTTGCCCTCTTAGATTCTTCCAAATATAAAATTGTCAAGTTATGCACCTAATGTTGGCTATCAAGATGTTGCATGTAATATATCACTAAGGCCTCATTCAGCATCTTAGCAGGATTTCTGATTGCTTAAAAAACACCCTCTCAGCTTAAAATACAGCCCTCTGGTTTTGTATGATGTAGGCTCAAGTTTGATGGACAACACCACTTTGGGGCTTCTCTTTTTAGTCTGTGCTGACTTTTTAATTTCTCTTTCTGAATGGCTAGAGTGTGCACGTTGGAAACCAGCTGTGTGAATTAGCCTGTGAATTGGCTAGTGTGCATTTTTGTCACTCGGTTCATGTTGCATACTTCAGGGAGTTTAATAATGGCTAATTCAAAGGGTCTGGCTTGCTGTGCCTATATTCAATATGTTGTGTGTATGCACTGAGAGGGTGTGGGTCTATATGGTTGTTTGAATTGGCCTTCATGACTCTCTTCAGTTCAGCAGAACCTGTGTGGTTAAGTACCACACAATTTTGCTAAACAAAATAATACTCCCACCCACTGCCATTTTTCATTTGAGCACAGCTTCTCAGAGAGGGAGTCACAGTACAGTGTGCATTGATTCCAATTTTACGAGGTTGTTCTTGATCTCTGTCAAGGCAAGTGTCCAGTCCACTTGGCTTGTAAATTTAGGCTCCTGCAGTTCTCTGTGCAGCAGAGTGGCTATGAAACCTACTGATCCCTATTTTCGAACCAGGTTTACTGTAGCTCCAGCTGGTCAAAATGACTTGAACTTGGGTCATAGGGTGGTAATTTACCCCACAGGAAGACAGATGGAGTTGTACCTGTAACATGATGGGATGTGCATTAACTGAGAGTGTGTAGAGGAGGCGCAATTTATCCCGGTCGGTGAAGTGGTCCATGTAGACACTACCAGCATCTGCCACTTCAGCATATCGCCGCACTATTCGGTCCAGCAGCCTTTGTGAAGGGCAGCGAAGCATCGGTGTACTCAGACCCTAAAAAGAAGAGAAGGGGAAAGGGTCAGTCTTGTCTCTGCATATAGCACAGGGGCTTTGATTGAATGGGCCTGTGTTTTGTATGTCCCTTTGTATGGTTAGGACCTGACCCTACAAATTACCACTGCTGTATATAATTAAACAGAGCATCTGAAGAAGCAGGTACACATGAAATTCAATGGCCCTGCTTAATTATTTTTTAATTAAAATCATAGCTGAAAAGTGATGTACAAAAGAACCCATATACACAGGCATGTTTATATAATAGAAATATGAATAAATTGCTTATGATATTTATAATGGATCCATATGAAAATCACATCCCACTGCACAGTGAAAACTCCCAACAATAGTAGATTTATTCTGAAATAACTAGAGGATATTATTTAGCCCTGGGAATTGGGGGCAGATTGGGTACTTGCAGAGGCAGCACACCCTGTTTTGCCTCCTGAGGCGAAATGAGAAGGTGCTGTCCTACTGCCACAGCGTCCCTCACTTGGGAAACGGAAAGCAAAAATAGCCTAATAGCTACAAAGAAGCACTGCCATCAGTTTCATATGTGTTGACATTCATACGCACAGGTGTCAAAATGCCTCCTGTATCACTTGGATCTGGGGTGCTCCTTGTTGGGATACTGCCAGGGAGACAAAGTCCATCATGGCCCCACAAGTCCTTTCCGGACGATCCATCGATCTCCCGTAGATACAGTACAGTATCAGCAATTAGCGACACGAGCTCCAGAAATAGCCTGCCACATTCCAGAAATCATGCACGCTCTAGCAGCAGATAATGCACAGCAAAAGTTGCACGCAGGAGAGCATTATTTACAAGTTTAATCAGCGTTGTTCAGAACAAAAAACATGACTGCCTGCTTCAGTGTCTCTGACACAGAGAGAGAGAAAACAAAGACACAACAGAAACATCCTGTGAAACAGGAAATACGCAGGCTGTGTGACTCACAAAGCCTGCTCCCTTTTAAGGTGGAACGGAAATATCCTAACACTCCTGACCGGGCAACCTTAGTTCAAAATGTGTCAGCCAAGATATTTTCTGAGACCTACTGCAAAGCTCAAATTAAACCAGCACTAAAAGAACAGCACTAATTGCCAGTTAGTTTCCAGACAGAATTCAAGGCAGTGGTTCTTAGCTTTAGAACCCTGAATGAACTGGGATCAGGAAATGTCAGGAAAGTGGCATCTGGCATATTCTTAGAACATGAGAATCCTGTAAGGCTTTTGTTGGTGGTACCTGCCGTTTGAAACTCTCTTTTGACAAAGACTCGCCAGACTCTGTTGTTGTTCAGATGGCTGGTGCAAATGTTTGTTTCAGAGAACCTTTTTATACTGTCACTGATAGCGATTCATTTTTTTTTTTAAATGATATTTATTGAAAAAATTTTAAATTACAGAGAAAAAACAAAGCAGAAAAAGAAAAAAGAAGAAACAAAGAAAAAACAAACCACATCAAACAATACAAATTCAAAAAACAAAAATACACCGCAAACAGACAAAAATAAATCCATCATTCTCAAATCCTCAACTCTCATTACCTTCTTTCTTTGACCTCCTCCTCCTCCCTTTTTTAGTATCCTAGTTAATAATTATCGCAGCAAATCCTTTCCATATTTCGTAATATTCTGTCATTACATTACCTTAATCTATTTTCATCTTATCTTATAGAAAACCTTAAAAACTTAAAACTTAAATCTTATTTTTACCGACTTCTCACAACCATAATATTCTTACCTAATTCTTTAAACATTTTTGCTAGAGCCAAGTAATTTCGTTCCAGCATTTTTCTAACATTCATCAATTTTATAAAACAATCCTGGTAATAAAAACAAGAAATAAAAATAATCCAGTCTTCATCCAGCATCCCTTCCTCCTGGTCCCGGGTTTTGTCAGTCCTTTTTATCCCATCGATCTAGCGCATTAACCTGGTAACCTTATATCCGAGGCCCTTAAATCTCTTCCATGTCCCTTCCGCAGCTCTTCTTCATATTCTCCTTTCACTCGTGGGAACTCCAGCTTGGTGATGTTTTTGACCCTTTTCAACAAATCAGCCCCTTTTCCATAGTCCAGACTCAACTCCATGTGGTATTTAAAAACATGTTTCAGAATCCCTCCAAAATTGAGAGCCCCCACAGCTCCAAACATCTCACGGCCCATTGCCAGATTCGGAAAGTCCAAACATCCCTGCATAGGGGGGTCTATCCAACCCCCCATTTCCAAACCAATCCAAACTTTATCTTTCCAAATCTGGCTTTTTCCAAGTTCATTTGTCAAATCCAAAAGCTCATGTTCCTGCAAGGCCGCAGCTCCCTCCATCTCAGGCGCCCAAGATTCAGCAACATCCTCTTCTCTCATCTGCTCTGTCAGGACACACTCCTGATCTAATTCCTGGGTGGGCTTCACATAGTTTCCCACTGCCTGTTCAAAAATTCTGGCCGCATTAGTCATCAAATCCATCTTCTCATTTAACTGTTCCAGTAGGGCACTTGTTTTCCAGAGAGCACACAACAGAGCCTCTGAATACATTGTCCTACAAGGTCACAAGTCCATTCCCACAACTGTAATCTGTGACAGCTGCAAGCTCCCTGGAATTAGTTACAGTTTCACAGTCTCCCTCTAGGGGGAGAACTTCTATTTGTTCTTGCAACAAAGTATCCTTTTTGAGATATTTTGTCAATATTTGTTCCTTTAAAATGCGAAAGGAAACAGTGGAATCACTATGTTTCTCTTCCTTTAACTATCTGTCAAAAACGTTTGTCTCTGGTCAATGAGCTTCAAACGTCAGTCCTGACACCCTGCTCCAGGATCAGGACGGTAGAAAGTTACTTTACTTTAAACTCACTTCTGCAGGTTTAAACAGTCCAAAAAAGATCCCCCTTCTTCTCCTGCTGCCGAAGGGGGGTTCAACAATTTTAAATGATGAAAGCCAATCCTTTAGAAGCGATTTTCTGAGCTCTAGTTTACGTTGTCTTTGCTTTATTCTGTCTACAAAGAAAGGAAGGTTGACTTCCTGTTTAGACCTTCCCGTTTCAGTACCAAATTGAAGTAAATTTTTAAGTCCAATTCCTTTCTGCTCGCAAGTCCTTATTTAAAGTCCGATTGTTCAAATTTTAAGTACTCACGGGTGCTTATTTTAGAAGCCAAATTGACCCAGGAAAAAGGCAGCGCTCTCCGGCAATGGCTATGCGGCTTCGCTCCACAGAAATAGCAGTTGACTCACAGCACCGCGCCACTTCCCCCTCTTCACTTCGGAGCCCGTTAGTGGGTTCCTTTGCGGGTTGGGGGGGCGCTAAGGGTGCCCGCCGAGTCCCATGGTCACAGGCTTCATCCGCCTGTGATTTTTAGCAGGGTCCCCGCTTCGCCGTAGCGGAAAAGACCCGTTTCACGCAGAGCTAGTCCCTCCAGTTCAGAGGGAGTCCGCCATTGCCGATGGCGCCACCCCGGAAGTCCCACTGATAGCGATTCAGTGTGCATAGATTTGTAATATTTTTTTGTTAAGACCTGTAATTCCTAAAATTTGATGGCAACACTTAAATATATTTTCAGGGTTTTGCAGTTGCTTTTACAACTTGTAGCCTGAGCCAATTAACTGTTTGCTTAGCTGCTAGGGCACCCCTGGCTTCCTGATCCCCTGGTCTCTGGAATGCACTAGCTGTGGCAAGTAGGACTGCTATTGCTGTGGCACTGCCCACCTGGGGCCACTCCTAACTAGTTAGCTGGAAACTAAGGCCAGGCACCAGAGCTGAGTGCCAAAGGGCAACATAAGACAGCTGCCCTTTGGTGTAGCTATTTGTAATGGCTCAAAGGGAGCTAGAGGTTAAAGGGGGAGGTTTTCCTATTTGTTAACATCGAAGCTGATGTTGCTTTTTGTAACATTTATTGGCCTAGGCCTCCTTCTCATTTTTTAGAGAGAATTTTGCTGTGTATGAATGTATTATTGATTTCCCCTTTTTTCTTCTGCAACTGAGCATTAGATGATCGGGTTTTCTTCTCAGTAATTAGCAGCTTAAATCAAATGTCAAAGTTTGTGTAACCAAAACGATTGGCCAGTTGACTGAATAGTTGATATATATTGATTCACTGTAGGAGAACAATAAACTTAATTGATTGAATTTATTGATTTGTTTTGACTTGGTACACACACCTGCTTTATAGTGGAGGGGTGTGTGAAGAAAGGTAGCTACACTTTTCAGTTCAGATCAAATGGCAATTCACTCCCACAGCAGATCTAATTCTAAAAACACTTCTATCATAATATTGCGGGGGGGGGGGGGCTATTTTAAAAGAAAAATTAAATGGTAGCCATTGTCCATCTGCAACACAACTCCTTCCCCCCCCCTCATTAATATTAGGAAAAAAGACTTAAGATAGTAGGATTGAATTCAATATTAGTCATACTCCAAGTAGGCTCCCTACAATTAATGGACAGGACTAACTTGAGTCCATTGGATATAACTCAAAATGCTAAAAAAGAAAAGCATCCCTCCAAACAAAGAGTCAAAAGAAAAAACTCACATTTTTGATAATTCCAGGCATTAAACACACATGTTTATTTGGAACTGAAATGCAAGTAACATAACCTGGAACTTACTCCTGTATAGGCTGCTGTGTTCCATTCAGAGCTGCATATAAGCACAAAGTTAAATCGAGGTTGTCTCTGGGGCAGGGAAGGCTTTTCAGCAAAGGAGCATTTGTAGTTTGCAATAAAGATTTTCATTGTGACAGACGAAATAATCATTGTGGCAGGCCACTCAATTGATAGCTGGGTCAGACAGGGCAGGCGGCGTAAAGTGAAAAACATTATTTCATGGTCTGTCATTTTGATTCAAGTATGTTAAGGCTTGTCATAATTCTTTGCACTATAAAAGAAAATTACTTGAGCCCAATAACTTCTGTCAAGTCTCCTCTGTATCCAAAACTACATACGGGAAGACACAGCCGTCAAGGGAGTACAACTACCTTGATGCAGCAGTGGGAGTAAGTGTACTTTAGAGATGCTTTTCTTTGAAATGTGCTATTTGCAGTTGCTTAGCCTGTCAATGAAAGAGGATTACTGGGTTAGGCAAGGGTATCAATGCCTATTTTCTGCTGCGGGTTAAAAAAAACAAAAACCAACCCATGGGAACAGCCATTCACAGTGCAATCCTAAGAGTACTCCAGACCTTTGAATCAGAATCACAGATTCTGTAGAGTTGGGAGAGATCCAAGGGGTTGTCTAGTCCAGCCCCCTGCAATGCAGGAATTGTTGTTTGCATGGCAGTAGATATCCTTTTTATTTAGAATGAAAGAAAAGGGAAAGTAACACTGTGTTTGGATTCTCTGATGCAGTTTCCTGGTGCATTCTGGAATACTCTCTCTAGGGAGGTGCACCTGGAGCCATCATTATATATCTTCAGGTGCTGGGCAAAAACCTTCCTTTTTAACCAGGCCTTTGACTCGTAACTATCTATGACCTTTTAGACTGGGTCGTATGTATTAACATCCCCCCCCCGGGTTTTAATGTACTGGGGGGGGGGGGTAAGGACTCAGCTAGATTGGTAAAGAAAAAGTGTCGCACAGTGAAACCTCTGTTCCCAAATGCCCCCATTTTGGAACGTTTCAGCTTCTGAATGCCAAAAACCCGGAAGTAAGTGTTCTGGTTTTCTAACGTTTTCCGGAAGCCAAACGTCCGATGCGGCTTCCCCTGGAGTGCAGGAAGCTCCTGCAACCAATCGGAAGCCTTGCCTCGGTTGTCAAACATTTCGGAAGCTGAACAGGCTTCTGAAATGGATTATGTTTGACAACCGAGGTTTGACTGTATATGCATTATAACACTGTGACACCAGGACACTGTGACACCAGTGTGGAGTTCCATTTTTGCCAACGCGATTTGTCATACAAAGTTTAAAACGTGTTTAACTGAAACGCTTCTTTGATGTGTCTAGATGCAGCCCATGTCTAGTGACTACCTAGCCAGGACTTGTGACAATGAAGAGACAGACAGTAGAAGTTATTGCCCAGCCAAATACTCCATGGTTTGCACCCAGCCCAAGTCTTGCGAGACTTTGTGAAGTTCTCACAGGACTTCATCAAGCCTGAAGTAAACAGTATTTCTCCCAGCCTGTATTGAATTTGAATACTTATTCCCACCTGTATCTTCATTGGATTTGAAATTGTTTTTACATATTATTTTTTTGTTTTGTTTTTATATATGGATTTTTTTTTAAAAAGGTTTTTACACACACACACACACACATACAAACACACGCATGCACACACAAACACACACACTGTAATTGGTTTTTTTATTGTTGATAGGTTTCTTGTTTTTTGTTTACTGTGAAATTGCTTCAGCATATTTCATGGAAAATGACCCATAAATGGAATTGAATCAATCAAACAAACAAATAATCCCTCTGAGATTACCTGCACTGAGCCTCTGGAACAGAATGGGTTATAAAAATAAATAAACATTGGAATAATTTTATTTGGAAGACTGAGCTTCAAAATTTGCAAATCCTTTTCCCAGAACATTGACTATACAGCAGTATATTTTGCCAGTATTTCGCAAAGGTCTGCTAATATATCCAGTGTTTCAGTACTCACGGTAGTCAAGTAAAATGGTAGCCAAAGCCAGGAAAGAAAAATGAGAGTTGGTAAAAAAAAACTGGTCTTCTTCCAACTGGGTATGTAGCATTATTTAGTTGAAATCTAGTGCATATAAATAACTGGGGCAAGTGGAGAAAAAGCTATTGTGCCCGCTAAAAAGTTATACCAAAATAAAAACCCCAAACTTTATCTAGTGTGTGGCTGTCCCCAGTTCTGACTGATTTTTCCGTCTGGCACCATGAGTTTGACTTCCCAGCAAATGTCGAGCCTACTTAGAAGTTCGGCAGGCGCCTTCAGCACAGAGAGGAAACTTTAGCCTGTGAGAAAAATTGGCTCAACTCCAACGCTCTAGGGAGTGCTCAAATGGAAAGTACAGTATGCATTAAAGATTTTGCACTCTGGGAGATATTTGTGTGGCACAAGGCAGCCAGCAGAGATTGGGTTTCATCCAAACTGAACAAGGGGAGAGAAGGGAGTAGAGAGAGGGGAGGCACCTCGCTGTGGTAAACTTCTGTCAGAAGCTACTCAGAGCAATGTGAAGCTTGCCCTAGCGTAGAAGGAGGCGGTGAATGTATGCCATGTCAATTTTTCTACTTAAACATTCCTACATTTTCTGAATAAAAAGTTGGCTGTGGCCCTCGCGTTAAAGCAATGGAACTCTACTGTTGTGAACCTACATGCTCATAATAGGAAATATTGGTTGCTTGCTAGAGGGGATTCCCCATACTTCTTGCACAGCTGCAGTTCTGTTTTGCCAACAAAGCTCTGGTGACATGTTTCATGCTGCCATCTTGTGGAGTAAGGGAGAGGACCTGTGGGGGCTGGAAATCCGAACCGTTTTAAATCTTGGAGTAGCACGGGGGATTTTGAGGGGAAAGGGAAATGTGAGATTCTAGATTAAAGCACTTCTCTGCTCAAGCAGGCAGGGTCCTTTTCTTCACAGTGACGCTCTCCTTGATTTACAAGCTGGAAAGATAGAGCTGGCAGTGCAAGCCTATGTTTGCCTGCTCAGACGTTAGCTCTATTGAGTTGCAGAGGACTACTTCCAGGTAAATGTGTAAAGTGTCAAAGCCTCAGTGTCCATGCTTTTGTTTTGTTCTTCATTCATCTTGTGTTATTTTAATTTGTTGCAGGTGATGAGGCCTCCCTTGTGGGAAATTTGGTTATATTGATATCTCTGTTAGAGCCGCTTATCTTTCATTTAAAAAGTTATTTGGCTTGTACAATATATCAGTTGTCTACTTTTCTGATAACAGTAGCACAAATGGGCTTGCTTATACTTAAGCGTCTTTATGTGGGTCAGACACAGAGGGAGAAAGGGTCAAAAAATGACTAAGCTGGCTCAAAAAGTAAAAATAATTTTAAAACCCTCTAAGTGGATGTGACATGTATTTGCTGGGTGTCTGGCATACCTCCCTGAGAAGTTTCTCCATACTGAAGCCTACGTCTAGAATGCCCTCCCTCCTTACATCTGGAAGGTAACAACTGTTTGTGATTCCAAATTTTCTTGGAAATGCACCTGTTTGCTCAAGCTTTCCCTACTACTACTACTACTACTACTACTACTACTACTACTATTTATATACCACCCTATACTCAGAGGTCTCAGGGCAGTTCACAGAACAAAACCAAAATATAAAACCAAAATATATAATAAAAATAAAAACAACAACATAATAACCCCCCTCACCAAAAAGCCACATTTTAAAAGGGCATAGGATGTCAATCAGATCAACCAAAGGCCTGGTTAAAAAAGGACATTTTTGCCTTGCGCCTAAAGGTGTATAATGAAGGTGCCAGGCAAACTTCCTGAGGGAGAGAATTCCACAGATGAGGAGCCATGGCAAAGAAGGCCTGTTCTCGTGTTGCCACCCTCTGGATCTCTCGAAGAGAAGGCCCACGAAGAAGGGCCTTAGAAGATTCTGCATTTAATTTTGGTTTTAATCTTTGTAAATCCTTTTCAGTTTGCTTTGTCATTGATAAGTAGAATGTAAATATTATTATATTATTAAAATATCATTTGGAATTTCCCTTGAAAAATCGCTCAGATATTAGAAAGTGAGCTATTTTTTCTGATCTGGCAAAGGATATTGCTTTTAGATCATGAAAATGTTTGATGGGTGAGGAAGGTTGTAACTTTTCAAAGTCTCATATCTATTTTGTGAGTGGTAAGGTAGGAAGCCATGCCAGTGCCTTTCTTTAACACCTTTGTTTGTTTGCACCTCTGAGCATCTCAGTCATATGATAGAAAACCAGCCTCTGTTTCTTTGAATCTGCCACTGGGCATGCAGGTGGGTGCTGTGGAGCTTGCTCTATTCCAAGGACTGGAATGTTATTCCTACCCAAGAAATGCCTACCTGTAGCAGCTCTGAGGGATGAAGAAGGAAAGAACAAAACAGGCCAGCATTTGTTTGACAGAGTCAAGTAAGAGACAAAAAGTTTCTAAAGAGCCCATCCTATAACTCCCTTTTGGCAAAACATCTCAGTTACTTAAATAGACGATTCCTTCTTTTGAAAATCAGCTGTTAACACCAGCACCATTTATCTGCTGGCCCAATGTGTGAAGGCTCTTTGGTACAACTAGTGGTCAGCATCTTTCTTTCTCCACAATTGCACAACAACAAGAACAAAAACCAGCATCCTGTGTTTGAGGGTAAGATGGCCACTGCTGCATATACCCTATGTATTTAAAGTATTCACAGTACATTTCCCCCAACAAAGAGTTCTGGGTATCCAATGCCCGATTGCCCAGTGCTGTTGCTTCCATTTTCCTTCCTTCCTTCTTTTGCTCTTCAGTGCTGCTGGTATGCTTTGCTGCTGTTTTGTTGTTTGCCTCCCCCCAATTCTTGGCCTTTTGCTCCTGTTCCTTGGAGACAGCAACTGCCCAGCAACTGTCCCCAAACAGCAGGAACTACGGCCAGAAGATGAGATTTATCTCTTCACTCAACCTACGTGACTCAGAAGGAATTCAGTAAAAAGGCCAACAGACTTCCTCTTGCATGACATGCATCACTATAGTTGGGTGAGAGAGATGAAAGACACTTCAGTGCTGGGCTGGTGCCTGCCTCTCTCTGGGCACGAGGCCACCAGAGAGTGTCTGATACTCTAGGAGGATAGCAAGTTTCTTCTGTAGGGTGGCTGTGTCTGCCAGAATCTGGGGGGGGGGGGAGGACGACCCGACACTGCCCTACCTTGACACGACGCCCCCACAGACATTGGCATCAGCTGAGCAGCAGGTAATGCTTTGGTTGCCCTTTAAGGAAAGTCACTGGCACCAACACCTAGAAGGGATGGGTCTAAAAGCGTAAAGATCAGGTTGCTACTTTTGCTGAAGCTTCTTATGCAATAGGCGTTTTCTCCCAGATTGGAAGAGACCAGTCACCAGCTTGTTCCAACATGCCTGGCCCAAATTCATAACCCTGTCACCCCACATTAGCTTATGCAGTTTAGGAGGTAAGCACTGAACAATGGCTAGCCTTCAAAGATGGCAGTCGGTGGGAACGTTAAGAGGAAGTAACAAAAACAAAAGCAAATCCATGGCATATTGCAGTCCATGGGAACTTATGTCATAATAAATTTGTTCGTCTCTAAGGGACTGCCAAACTCTTGCTTGATTTTCCGTACCATACAGATTCAAGAGGCTAAGGTGAATAATTATTTTCTGACATGTTTGCAGTTTGCGTATTCGGACAGTGTGCATGCATGAAGAGAATCTTTCCTTGATTTGGTTTCTGATCAGGTACAGGGGTGTGGCAAGATTTTCTTCACCTCTTTGCACAATATTATGGATGGCTTTTACTAAGTGGTGGCATGCACCCCATCCATATGTTAACTTTAGTTTCAGGTGTGACTGTGGTGTGTATATGGCTTCCTTCTGTATCCAAGTAGTGAAGAAAACTAGTAGAAACTGAGCCAGATCCAGCAAATTACAAGTGATTTCTTTGTGATGTGTGGTGTGTGTGTGTGTTGGGGTGGGGTGTATACAAGAGAACCAGATCCCATAAAAATAAAACACTTTACTCCCGTTAAACACTCTGTTGTGTAAATTCCATATTTCAGGGCCCTGTATACCAACCTGGACCAGGTTAGGGGTGAGGCGTTTTGTTTTTAGCCATTTCTGGAATCTCTCTGTTTTCCACAAGACTCGCTCGATGCTGCAGCTTTTTGTGTGGGTAAGAAAAGTGCAAATCCTCTTGTCTGCTTGGTCGTGCTGGTATTTTGTGGTTAATCTGGAGAGATCCACTGGCCGCCAACTTACGGTGTCATCTGAGTAGTTCCCAGAGTAGTAGGAGAGGTAGCTGGGAGGGAGTTTTAAACTGGAAGAAAGCCAGCTGTCAAACCTGCCATCAAATCAAGACATGCAATGTTGTTAATCTACCTTAGCCCAGCTAAGCACCAGCAGACCGCGGTGCCTGCCAAATTCTCACATTTCCAGGTAGGATTCCAAAACAAATCTATAAGGTGGCTAAGTAGTATCCACTCTTTATTAGGGCACAAAGCCTTTATCAAGCAGGCTCTATTCTTTGAAACTGGATAAAGCTATCACTTATTCCCCCTCCACTCCAATTCCACACAATAATATCCAGGAGTGAAATTAAATTGGAAAGCAGCCACAGAAGGGAAGCTTATAAAAAAACAGAAGAAATCACTATAACATCTAAATGTCTGTTGTTGTAATAATAATAATATATTTACATACCCCTTGATATGAAAAATTCCTAGTTTACATAAAGCACGATAAGATTATTTTTTAAAAAATCTATATACTGCATATAACCAAAATGCAAAGAAATGCATCGGTAAAAACAGAGACATCATCAATAAAACATTCAGTTACATATCAACAACAAAACAGAGCAGTGTGGTGAATCTTATAGGCCAGGGGGGAACCTGGTTAAATTGATGGGTCTTCCAGAGGTGTTTAAAGCTTGCTACATGGCGCTGTGAGTTAAACCACAGAGCCTAGGGCTTGCCGATCAGAAGGTCGGCGGTTCGAATCCCCATGACAGGTGAGCTCCCGTTGTTCAGTCCCTGCTCCTGCCAACCTAGCAGTTCGAAAGCACAAAGTGCAAGTAGATAAATAGGTACCGCTCCGGCAGGAAGGTAAATGGTGTTTCTGGCGCTGCTCTGGTTTGCCAAAAGCGGCTTAGTCATGCTGGCCACATGACCCGGAAGCTGTTTGCAAACAAACGCTGGCTCCCTCGACCAGTAAAGCGAGATGAGCACCGCAACCCCAGAGTCATCCGCGACTGGACTTAACGGTCAGGGGTCCCTTTACCTTTACTATTTTTGCCTCAAAAACAATACTAGGAGGGTTGTTTCTGAGCGTAGATGGAAGACTAACCATTGGCCTTGTTGACTGGGGCCAGTGGTCAAGATAAAGGCGTTCAGTCAGTAACACTTCCTAATACAAATCTGGCAATGATGATAATAATTGGGCACAAGAAACAGGCACTAAGTTCCTTTGTGCAATTGAAAAGGGAGAACCACCTATGTCTTCATAGAATCATAAATCATAGAATTGTAGAGTTGGAAGAGAGACCCCAAGGGTCATCTAGTCTAAGCCCCTGCAATGCAGGAATCTCAGCTAAAGCATCCATGACAGATGGCTACCCAACCTCTGCTTAAATACCTCCAAGGAAGGAGAGTCCACAACCTCCTGAGGGAGACTGTTCCATTCTTCTGACTGCAAAATACCTAGACAACTGGAAACAGTCACATGCTCAGCTAACAGTCAACTGGAACAGTCAAATTTTGGCCTTATATGCATGTTATTTCTGAGGCTTTCCTCTCTCATTTGCTATTGTTTATGAGAGGGAGCCGTCTCCTTTTTTTCTACTTTTCCTGAGGAAGTAAATGGAGCCAATTCAGGATTCTCTTGTTTCATTATGCCCCTCAATCAGTTGTGTGCATGTACACAAACACTTTCTTCTCTCTCCTACAAGCTATTTTATATAAGAATTATTCTTTGTTATTACAATTTATCCAATTTTTATCGCACCCTGCCTCCCAAAGGAGCCTGGGGCAGCAGATGCATAGATAAAACATTCAAATAATGTTGACTCCTCATGAACTTCTTCTTTATTTAGTCTAATGGCAGGCATTCAAGAAAATTTCCCAATTGTTCCAATTTTCCATGTGAATGTAGAAAAAATATCCTTATCTAACCCCATCATGAATTTAATGTTAATCATTGAGAGCTGAAGACAGTCTGGCAAGATTGTTTGGGTTACAGCTGGGTTAGAATGCAAGCTCATGCAGATCCATCAACAAAACAAAACTAGATTCCATGCTTTAAAATTTGCCTCCCTCCCCCTTGCATAAATTTAATTTTTAGAATGCACATGCATATCTTCCTTTGGATCTTGAGAAATTGGATCTTGAGAGATGTGTACAGTTTTAGGCACACAATCCCTTGCTTTAAAACCAATTCTAGCAGAATCCCTTCGGAGTGTGTGGTTTGAGCATGAGTATCTTAAAATTGATTTCATTTCTCCTCTACAAAACTGAATGAAATCTAATCCTTTATCTCCTCTGAGTTTGGGAGAATGTTGAATTGGCAAGTTAGATTTGTGAATGATCACAGAGACAGTGTCATCCTCTGCACGTTTGCTCAGAAGTAAGTCCCACTGTGTTCCATGGACCCTACTCGCAGAACACAGGGAATTATTGTGGTGTAAGAGATAGAGGACTTGCCTTCAACTATGAAGACCTGTATTCACATCCCAAATTAGCTATGAAACTGACTGAGTGCCCTTGGGCTAGTCACTATCGCTCAGCCTAGAATACCCCACATGCAAGATGACAGGATAAAATGGGGAGGAACCATTTATGCCACCTTCAGCACCTTAGATGGCCTGACTTGCAAGGAATCTACCACAGCCTTAAACAGAAATAATGACTGCTCCCCACATCAAATGAGGGGCGTTTTTTGCATGGTCACGCGCAGCACCCCCCATCCTACGCGGCTCCCTAAAATACAACCTGCCTTTGCCCCCTCCCACGCTGGATACCTGGAGGTTCCTGCCTAACCTCAGTTAACCAATCCCAGTGGCCGGGGGGGGGGGCGTTGCCAGGAGAGTTGGCCAAGTAGGGTGGGACCGCCCTGCCCACACAATAGAGGGTGGAACTTACCTGGGAGTCCTCAGTCGGCTCCAGAGCTTCTCCCACCCTGCCCTCTCTCAGTTATGCCTTCTTTTGCAGGTTAACCTCTTCTCCACAGGTATGCGGACGCTGCTATGTCATTGGTTGCTGTTAAAGGACCGGGAAGGAATTTCCCTGCATTGGCAGGTTTTGCCTTCCCCGTAGCAAAATGTCACAACTTTGGCGGTTTCAGGCCTTGGGCGGAATCCTTTAGTCTTTTCTTCCCTAAAATGGGGGGGGGGGTCCTGAAGCAGTGACCCAGGCCCCCCCTGCAGCAGCGATGCCAGGGTTCCCCGTTAAAGGGGTTGCATGAAATTAGAATGAACTCCCACAATTTTTCTGGATTAATCGGGTTGCCACTTGTTTTTTGTCCCCCTGGAAATGAGTGCTAGACTTCCAGTAGCTTTTCAGCAGTGGCTTTTTCATATCATGTGAAAGTTCACATAAAATGTGAAAGTTAACAGGTAACTTCATGAAAGCAAAATAAAGTGCTGTCTGAATGCAACCTGTTAAATGAGGAGTAATTCTTAGATATTCAGCACTTTTTCCCCCTTTTACTGACTCTGCTCCTTTCACTTTGACAGCAACCTGACATGGAGAATTTTTGAAAAGTGATGCTTTGCCTAACTGGGTGTGGAGTTACAAAGATGGGAAGAGCTTTGCCTGCTACATTTGTGCACTTCAGGCACAAGCGCAGGAGGGAGTAAAAACAATCTGGGCAGCAGTCTTAATGTCAGCTTTGAGAATTCAAAGTTGTGTTTCATTTCAGGACCCAGGAAATCTGAGGGGCGTTTTTACTTTATTTTATTTATTTTCATATCTGATTGTCGCTCGTGCAAGGGAGACGGAGGAGAGGCATTTGCAATGCCAATGAACATTATGGTTAATACAGGATTCACATTTTCATGTTTAAACCTAATGAAGCAAGAGCGTCTTTAAGCATATGTAAAAATGCCTACAGGTACATATTGGAGGGCGGGGGTGAGGGTGGACTTTTAAGCGGCCCTTAAATAAGAGTCAATGTGGTCTACAGCAACAGCTGGCACTGTAACTCTCCAACAGTTAGACTTAACCCCTAAAGGCACACCCTTCCATTGTCTCCTCAGACAGATAAATGCCAACAGGGACAGGTCCAAGGGGGTAATTTGGTATTGAGAGAGTCGTGCTGGGGTGAAGCCCCCTGTTCAGCCATGAAACCTGATGCAGCCTCCTTCTTGGCCTAAGTTCTCCAACTATGAAATGGGAATTTCCAAGGCAAGCCTAACAGAGTTCCTTTGAGGACAAACTTTATGAAGGTTGTGAAGTGGTTTGTATGCAAGTGATTCATAATTGCCATTGTTCATTGCAATCAATTAAAACTGCTGCATCCTATCATTAACACTCAGTACCAACAAGAACATAAATTAACCCAAACGGATGTCTTCATCTGGAAACCTGCAGGGCAAAGGTAAAAAGCTCTGGGAACATGACTCTATCTGCATTTAACCAGTTCACCAATGACCTGACATGCTTTGTAAATGCTTATCATGGGTGTTGCCAGAATAGCAGTTCACTCTTACATCAAGTTATTTAATCTCAGGCTTTAAAAGCAATATTACCACATAGGCCAGAACTCATTACTCAACAGGGTGGGGAGCTAGTAATTCCATTTTGCTAATGAGAGTTAATCCAGACAAAGATAAGAAAAGGAAAGAGGAGTAGCGTGAAGTTGCATGATAACAGAACAGGTATGAATTACCACTTCTTAGAATGAATGATACATTTCATTCAGAATGGTTCTGATATACTCAGAATCAGCAGAATCTACTACAGCCTGAAGTGAAATAAATAAAGCATACCTATGGTCCACCCATGGTGGATTTCTCTTTTTTGGGGGGGGGGGGATTCAGCATCTCCCTTCCCCACCCCTGCACCTGTCACGGTAGCTGTTTGCTATTAAACCCTTCCATCCAGTGAAGAAGCTGTAGCAAAGTGCTAATCAGAATGAGCAAAGTAAGACCATGAGCTGCAAAAAACTGCGTAACAGGGACCATCAATGTGGCACCCTTCAGATATTGCAGACTACAACTCCCAGCATCCCTAACCATTGAGCATGCTGGCTGTGTTGAAGGGAGTTGGAGTCCAGCATACCATGGGCACACTCATTTTATGTGGAGTACTGGCTACACTTATTAGGTTGACTGGCAGTGCAAGCAGGCAAGTTGCCTTTCAGGAAATCATTACTCAGGAGAGCATTGATAAATCCCTGCTAAGTTGTTTCTGAGGTAATTCAGTGTGAATGATGACTATTTTAAAAACTACTGGTCTGCACTTTAACTAACAGGGTCCCATAAGTATCCTCTTAGTGACAAATAATATATCAGATCTCCAGTTTCTCCTCTTCATCCAAATACTCCCTTGGGTCTGTGCCTAACAGCTAGTCAATGATGCCAGGAAAGGTGCCCACCTTCCTCAGCCATAAAGAGAAACAGGATGGTGTGGGGTGGGTGAAGTGGTGATGGGCAGATTTAGGCTAGCTTGTGCCCAAGACACTGATTCTGTTGTTGTTGTTGTTCTTGTTGAATCTGCTCTTCTGTATATTTTCCTTAATGTGGAGCTCTTACTCTCCAAACATTATACATACTATGCAGAGCCAAACCATAATATAGAAAACTTTGCCCTTTAAGGTTTCTTTGCCCATCTCCTTGGCAACTGTCCACCAGCTTGTGAAAACCTTTCAGGAGATAATGTTTTATATGATGAATGTTGTTTGTGATTTATGTCTGTTTGGTCTGCTTTCATTCATAGATATTATTTTGTATTGTGTTTTATTATGGGGATGTTGTATTTTAGTTGTTGTAAGATACTCTGCAAAAGTACTAGAAGGGTGGGTTATGTGTCACTAAATCAACAAATAAGTCCAGTTTGTCTCCAAATTCACACCAGACCAAGAGTGGACGAAGACCTAGCCTTGACTCCTGAGTGGTTCTTAATGAACTCTTTACTTTCTCTCCCATGTATATTAGCAAAAATATGCAGGCTGTAGATATTCTGTACATTGCCAGGGTTCTTGCAATCTATAGGTCTTTCCTCTAGAGTCACGACCCACCTGTCATAATGATAGGCATTTTAGTGGTTTAAATATAAATGTAAAACGCGAAATGAGTCTTTTATAGCAACTCCACCAAGGCTTTTTATTGCTTTAGTGAAGTATATTTTATATAGAAGCAGATACCTAAAAATGTAATTTGACTCTGTTTGGTGTAATAGTAATAATATAGCTAGTGGTGCATTAAAACTATAATTTATTAATATAGCAATTTTTTCACCACCATGCTGCCAATTCTTTAAAAGCACCTTTCCGTATATAAATCATATTAGAAGAGAGTGAACTCTTCCCTTTTAAATCTCTTTACCTGCTGTCATCTACCTTAATAACTTTTATCTTGGCTATCTCTGCTTTGTGAATCTGAAATAGATCTAATGATTATGATAATGGTTTGTGTAGATGTTTTACTCTCACTAGAAGAATATTTATGTTTGACAATTGTCCTGACATGCTTAACAAAATCCTGGCAAGATGAAAATGTTTGAGCCTCGTTCATGCTTCAGTCAATTTTGATAATGTAAAGAAAAATAAATCCTTCGGCACAGCCCACCTAAAGTAGAGCTCTTATTATGAGCTGGGTTTGACATTTTGAAGTGCTATGCAGCCTGAACCCTGCTTACTCCTCCTTCTGCTGCTGTATATTCCCCTTGTGCCTTAAGGTGATCTTGAGGTGAGGCCCTGTTTTGCATGCCACCACCATCAGAGGGTCAGCAGTTGGCTGAAAGAACCCAAGCCTTCTCTGCAGCTGGTGTCGTCCTGACTTTTAGAAGGTTAGAAACTATTTATTCAGGAAAGGCATTTGCGTCTGGTAGGTAAATATACAAGGACACAGGTGGCGCTGTGGTCTAAACCACAGAGCCTAGGGCTTGCCGATCGGAAGGTCAGCAGTTCGAATCCCCATGACATGGAGAGCTCCCGTTGCTTGGTCCCAGCTCCTGCCAACCTAGCAGTTCGAAAGCATGTCAAAGTGCAAGTAGATAAATAGGTATCACTCCGGCGGGAAGGTAAACGGCATTTCTGTGTGCTGCTCTGGTTTTGCCAGAAGCGGCTCAGTCATGCTAGCCGCATGACCTGGAAAAACTGTCTGCAGACAAATGTTGACTCCCTTTGCCAGTAAAGCGAGATGAGCACCGCAACCCCAGAGTCGTCCGCGACTGGACCTAACGGTCAGGGGTCCCTTTACCTTTACCTTTAGGCAAATATACTGGTTTTATTTAGCAGCTCTGTTGCTATTTGGGATTTCTGGTGATGGTATACTGGAATTCCAATATTTTGGCCTATATTGTTTTTTTAAAAAAACAAACAAAAAACAAGACCAGAATAAAGCTGTGAGCTCCTCTAGAGCCTGTATGGAGCTAACAGGAATCAATTTCAATTTAACCTTGCTAGAACCGGTCACATGAATTCCATTTCTAACACCTTTCCTAGCGTGAATGAAGTGCAGCAGATTCACTCTACACAGCCAAGATGTATTTATGCACATTCTAGGTGGTGGTTGCACTCATATTTTAAAATATAGCTGTTAAAATTTATTCTTTGCTTACCTCTTTACCCTGACATTTGGCACCTGTGTATTTTAGGATCTTATTCTCTTGATTGTAATCTGTTTTAACTGTATTTAAAACAGGATTTGTTCTCAAAAATTTATATGTAATTGTTGTAACCCACCCTGGGACCTTGTGGTGAAGGGAGGGGGTGAGGAGGAGGAGGAGGAGGAGGAGGAGGAGGAGAAGAAGAAGAAGAAGAAGAAGAAGCAGCAGAAGCAGCAACTTTTTAACAGCTGCCTATAAGCAAAGAGCTCCTGAAAATGGTATTGGTGCAAAATGATTCTGAGACAGGTTAGTCATTTGACAACTTAACAGTGGAAGCCTGTGCAAGAGAATGCATGCATTGAGTTCAGTGAGATTTACTTCCAAGTAAATGGGCATAGGATTCAACTACAAATTACACAGGGTGACGATGTGGGGATTTACTATGATGGCTCTAAAGGTGATATTCACTACTGACAAGTACACATACAGCAGATATGAACTGGTGACAAATTACATGCTTCAGCTCATCCTCCCAATGCCCACCACCCCAAGCAGTTGGCAATATTAATAGAGCTAGACTTCCACTTCCCTTTGTCCCCACCCCAAACATGGTACGGAGAGTCTGACCTTATTTCTTCTTTAAAGAACTTCTTGCAAATGGATGTTCCAATGCAGGCATTGCATTTATCAAGTCCCAAAAAAGTTCGGCCAAAACTGTAGCTGAGTTTGACCCGGGGACCTGCAGATGGGGAAACAGTTGCTGCTAAGAAAGTGCTGCAGTTCAGACTCAAGCACAGAAGAGGCAACAGCTTGACCACACATTTAGAGCAAAGGCGATGCAGCCAAGGCCTCATTGCTAGCATCTGCCACTCCTAACTAGCTTCTGATGGTCTCCGATTTCGACTGAACAACATTTTATTCAAGTGGAGAGTTTTGGCCCAAGAGACTTTGAGCTCTCTTATCTTGCCAGCTGGTTGGTGGCTTCAGAGGTTCGGTGGGAAGGAGCATGGACTGGGGTGGGCACAAGGAAATACATGAGGATGCAGATAACTTTTGTTGCTATAGTTACCTTTCCTCTGCTAGGAGCAGCTGTTGACCCACCCATCGCCAAACACAGAATGCAATGAAAGCTTTGCTCATCATAGTGTTGATGGGGACAAACGAAGGATATCCTGTTGAAGGAGCACAAAGTATTCATCGTGAAATCCAACAGGAACTGCTTCTGATAACATGATAACAGACAACAATTATAGTTAGGGCATGTGAAGAATGAAAAATTAATCTTTAATACTATTTATATTAAAATGCAGACTATCAGATTGCTAAGTTGTTTGTAAGTCCATTTTATTCATATTTCTTTCTCTAACAACTGAATTTATTTATTTTTTGCCAATGCTAAACACATTCCTTTAAAACACTGGTGTGGTTTTGTCAGTCATGTACCTTCCAGTTGCTGGCTCACATGCTTTCCAATTTTATTGCTAAAAATCTTGTCATTCCTTCTCCTCCTTCTTTCCAAAGCTGGGTATAAGTTCTAGAAAAACTCTGGGAACAAATTATGCATTTTCCTACCAAATACATGGGAAGGCATAAAAAGTAAGGAGGTATATTTAAGAAGAACTGTACAACTAAAGTATATGGGCCATGTTCAGCACCTAAGGTCTATGTTAAAGAAATATACTTTAAAAAGAGAGATATTGAAGTTCATTGTGTCTTTTATTGTATCTGTTATGGGGAAATAACCACACAGAGTCAGTTGGTGGGAGCTCTCCTTGGGGTGATAGGGAAAATGCATGGGCCACCAGCTTGCTGCTGCCATCATGCATTTGCTTCAGGGAGTCAAGTGCATTATGCTCCTTTCATATTTGTTTAGGCTTTGTTGCTTGCACAATCAGCCTGGACAGGGACCCAGTCAATTTGCATGGATTACAGTCAGTTGTGGCTTTGGGATGCTGATGGGTGAAACTTTACAGCTTTTACAACAAAGTCATCTCAAATCTGACGTAATAGCTGGTGACTGTCAGCTCCCTGGCTTAAAATGTTGTTGTGAGTCGAGACCCCGCTCCCTGCTTTGTGATGAGATAAGACACATGGACACAAGTATTTTAGGTTAATGGGCTAAAAAAGCCTACAACTTCATTGGTTACAGAATGTGAGTGGTATTGGCTTAGGCACTGGATCTGAACAGACTATACTTGACTCCTGCCCGCCCTGCAGGGAGTCACACAAGGGTTAACAACCTGTACAGGGAACTTGTTGATGTGAATCAACTGGAAACTTTCCCCTAGAGTCACTGGAGGGTCGTGCCATGGCCCTAGCCACCACCAGGGCATCGGACAGGAACCACGACCACTGGATTCTTTTAACGGAATACCCTTCAAGGGGAGGGGTAGGTGATGGCCACTACCTCCCCTCCAACACACAATGCATTTCCAATGCCTAACCGCCAAACCTTACAAAGTTGTGATGATTTGCTACGAGGTAGGCGAAAAACCATGTGGCTGGAGCCAATATGCCAAGTGGAAGAAATTCCTACCTGGCCCCTTGGACAACCAAGGCGACCAACCGAGGTCCTTAGCAAGGTTCATCATAAAATTAAGATTAAAATGCTGCTGTCCAGACATATTATGTTTTTCTGCTCCACTTTCTTGTTGTCTTAGTTGTTGTCCATCACGTTGATTTTATTACAAGAAAGGTTGAACATGCAACACTGTCAAATATATTTCAGTGACTGACAGCAACTCCACCTACTAGCCTAACAGAAACAACAGCTCCACACATAGTTATTAAATCCCTGAGGCTGCAACCCTAAGGCCACTTACGCAAGGAGTAAGTCCCAGTGAAATCTGTAAGGCTTCTCTGTAGACATATATTAAATAGTGCACTGGAGTGGGGTAGTTCCATTGGGGAGGGAGGGCAACTCACACTTTCTTTTGCAAGCAGCAGCAAAAGATGACACTGAGAGACACATCTCATAAGTGAAGATAGGCATGACGTTCTGCCCAGAGTACAACAAGCAGGCTTCTGTTGCATGTGAATTCTGTCCTGTCAGCATCAAGGACTGCATGCCATTGCATGTAAGTTTCTGGTCTCTACAATCTTTAGAGGCCCATTTACCATGCCACACTGAGGTGCAGCGTGATATAGGGTCTTTTTGGTGGTTGCACCTCCCCAGAAATAAGTCCTCCCCAAAAGGCTTGTTTAAACCTTTCTTTTACGTTTTTCTTGGCACCTTTCAATCTTATTAGACCTTTTAGCTACTGCTACTACTACTACTACTACTACTACTACTTATTATTATTATTATTATTTATTCTGCAAAATGTTGTGTTACCTCTATATCTAGATCTGAACCTGCTTTTATATTTTTTAATGATTTTTATTTTACTTTCTGTGTTTGTTGTCTTTGATTGTTAGCCACCCGGAGGACTTTGTTTAAGGGCAGGATATAAATATTTTAAATAAATATGTGCCGTCAAAGCAGCTAACAAATAGGACCCTGCAAACAAACAAGAGCAAAAGGAAGCAGAGGGTCATATTTCTAGGAACACAAAGCATTTTTGTTTTTTAAAAATGAAAGGTACATGATGCCAGAGGAAAAGATGCTTCCTCAGTGTTTTTCTTGGCGCTACAGGCTCAGCTGTGGGCCAGGAGTTGTTCAAAAGATTTAAAAAGAGAATTTCCACATGCTTAGGGTTTTTCCTCCATGGCTTAACTACGGGCATATAACACTAGCAGACTGAGGTGTTCTTTAGGTATTTAGCTGCTTTTCCATGGGTTCCTCTCACAGCGCTAATTAATATTTTATTGTGTTGTTGTTGTTGCTGCTGCTTTAAAAAACTCTGAACAAATAGCACTACAACCTGGGAAAGGGAAGGAATTCATTGAAAATGAAGGCCATTACAAAAAGGTGGTGGCAAGTTAAAAAATAAAAGTGGAAGGGAAAGAAAAGGTAAGAGAGGTATGTGCAATGGAAACCAGAAATAATAACAAAAATAAAATAAAATAGTGGTATTTAAGGCCACAAGACATAAAGCTATTTAAAATCCAGTAACAGTTTTGAAAAGAATAAAACAGCATTAAAACAGTTGCAAGGAGTAAAAACAGCTTGAAGCAGCATTATTTTGATTTTTGGGCTTGGTAGGGGAAGCTTCTTATTGCTTGATGCTGCAATCCTGTGCACGCTTCTTTCCGAATACACACCACTTCATACAGTGGGACTTGGCTTCTGAGTAAGCATTCGTAATGTTGCACCATTAATATTTTTAATAGGTTGTGTAAATAATCACCTGTGATGATGAAGCTTATATAAACATTTCTTCATACTTGGCCTTGATAAGTTTCTGATTTCACACTACGATTGTATGCTATTCTCGCCTCTGATTGTTTGTTTGTTTGTTTGTTTGCAGTTAAAAGGTTTCTATGCAAGCAAAGCTTATGAAGCAATGTTCTGCATACTGCATTTTCTTTGGAAAATTAAAAATTACACGAAAGCACGGGGACCCTTCATTTCCACAGGCTCTCATATAGAGCATCTTCAGGGCCTTGCTATTTCATAGGACTAGAAAAGTGGAAGGAAGAAACAGCTACTTCTAAAATGTTGTCTGTATGAACCTTTACCTTCTCTCCTCTCTCTCCACCCCATTTTGCATCAGTTTCCATGGAAATGGAAGTTGAACAAGCCACCAGCAGCACAATCCGTGTTATCTGCTGGTTCCAGTTTGTTCTTCAGTTTCCACGGAAATAGAGGCCAAATGCGAAAAAACAAGACACATCTAAAACTTTTTGGTTCAGCTTTATGAACTTGTTTTTCTTTGGCTTCTGCTAGGGCAGCATTAGCAGGTAGGAACTTAGCAAGCAAAGGCTGTGGATTTCAAGTGTTGATTGTCTGCTGGAAACTCCAGCAAGCATAGTTGGGATAGTGTCACTGTGCAAAGGGACTTGCAACACAATGTGGCACTGTATTCTCCCACATAAAACTGGGGGGCTCCTGTTCAGGATTCCAGTCTTCCTCTCGCCCACCCTCCGTTATTTTCTCCCTTTTCCAACCTTCAGTTTACATCGGGTGTGGAACCATTTTCAGACCCAGGACCACTTTCTCTACATGCCAATCTTCAGGGGTCCACATGCCAGGAATGGGCAGCACCAGAGGCCAAAGCAGGCAGAGCAATGAATGTGAATTTTGCCTTTGCAGAGTTGGCTTTTTCCACTACATACGGTATTCACATAGCTCCCTCTTTCCAGACAAGCAGTAAGCGTCATCAGAGTTCAAGGATATATTCCAGTCGGGCAAAAGCACTCAAGGAAGGTGGAAAACAGAGTTGGTGACTTGTGCAGAAGGCGGTGGAGCTGGGAAGTGTTGCAGCTTGGGGTGAGTACTGAGGACAGGATGGAATTTGTTTGTTTATATTATCAAACTTATATTCCCCCCTTCCTCCCAAAGGAGCCCAGGGCGGCAAACGACAAGTGAGGAAACAATGGAAATGTATTTAAAGCACTCAGAATGGTCTGGAGAGCTGCATTCAGCTCTGCTCTACATTCTGCGCTTTTTGAGTACAGTGGTATCTCAGGTTACAGATGCTTCAGGTTACAGACTCCACTAACCTCAGGATGAGAACAGAAATCGCACGGTGGCAGCAGCGGGAGGCCCCATTAGCTAAAGTGGTACCTCGGGTTAAGAAGAGTTTCAGGTTAAGAACGGACCTCCAGAACGAATTAAGTTCTTAACCTGAGGTACCACTGTATGCTCATGCCACATTCAGCTGCTTTGGGGAGGAGGGTTGCCCTTTTAGATTTTGGTGGTTTGTTGTTGTTTTTTTAAAAGGGGGTGGCTTTTTTAAGACTTTGTGGTACCCATAAGCATGCTGATACTCCCCTCTTGTTTCTCAGTGGATCCATTTTGGCTACAGTTTTGTTAGCACTCAACTCCTGGGTTTAACTATTAAAAGTGACTGGAATACACACACACAGCAGTTAA